TGAGAGGTGGGCCTTTAATCACTAGGCCACCACTGACGAATATATGTTTTAATATATAAATATTTTTAATTTATACAAAAAAAATAATTATCAATGATTCTTATAAACCTTTTTTATATAGATATTACAAATATAGAATTATCCTCATATATACTAGAATCCAATACACATATTTCGTTAAAGAAACATTTGACTGGCAATAACCTAAAGTCTGAAATAAGATGAAACAATAACAAAACTACTTACAATATAATAGCAACGCGTCATTCTTGTTAATACTGTTGTTGATAATTACGTCAACAAAATGTACGAATTTACCGGAGCCAAGAAGACCTTGACAGCTGAATGTTTTGGTGAAACGAATTATTTGGATTAGCTCCGGTGTGTTACAGCAAGTTACATATAACAAGCGATACATTTAACACGGAACACTTACATGTTGAAGAATAACAAAGATAAACTACATTAAATATCAATAAAATTGTTTCCCTTACTTCTAAGATCACGACGGTGATGTAAACTTGTAAAAACTGGTACAATGTAAAGTAAAAATGGTGGTTCATTTAAATGTTACAAATTATCATAATGTTATATGAGTTTTCAATATTTTTAAGTTTTTTATTGTGTACTAGAAGACCTGGCGAACTTCGTATCGCCCTATAATCAAGAAATATCTAGGTATTACGTTTTTTTATTTATATTTTTGGAGTTTACCTGTAAGCCATTCTCCGTGTTTTGAAGTGCGACAGAATGATTGACATATTAGTCAGTTGTCAAATCTAATGTCAAAAAAAACGTTTGTATGGGAAATAGAAAAGGGCGGTTTTTATGGTTTTCCCAGTAATGAATCAATTTTTTTCAGCTTTTATACCTTCCCTGAACCTCCACGAACATTTCAAGACTAAGATAAGATAAATCCGTTCAGCTGTTCTCGAGTTTTAGCGAGACTAAGGAATAGCAATCCATTTTTATATATATAGAAGATTAGTCAATGGCTTCCATTATAAAGATTGTTGACAATGCATTGACGGATAACAATTTTTGTATTATACGTAAATTTACATAAGCTCAGATTCCCCTCTTCCTTTATTCTTTTATGAAAAAATATGTTTTTCTCTGCTTCCGAATCTTGTGTTTTTTTTTTAATTTAGATTAATTGTAACAAGCACGATAAGTAGATTATTATAAAATTTATAAAAACTCCTCCGTTAAATGAGTAATTTCTCATAAGTCATAAGGTTTAATTGACATTGACAGAATGTACTATACGCACATTTAACATCGATGAATAATTTAAATTAAAGAATTTTATTAAGAATTTACAATAAATATTAGAGGAATTCTAAGATGACTCAGTTACGCGTATGGAAATAAATTTATTTAAATTATTATTTTTTTGTTTGTTCTCATTGATTTCTGGATTGGATGAATTTGAAAATCAATAACATTGTCTTTCATTTATTTGAATAACAAATGTGAATTATTAGAAACCGTAAAATAAATGACTTTCTTATTATAAGCATAATACTTGCGGAGTTGAGGAAAATGTCGTCTAAATTATAACAAAAGAGTCAAAATGAAGTATAACAAGTAATATATTCCGATAACTTCCCTTAAACGTAATCGATGGTGCAATAAATAACCTTTTAGACTTCTGACAACCCTCCACCCGGAAAATAATATTAAAGATCCCCCTTCTGACTCATTGAGGATTGCGTTGTGAGGAACGTTAATACTCACCCTAATATACACGTCACGCTGAATCGATCATACCAATTTAAATGATAGGCAGACCCTGGCTAAAGCTGGAAAATTGACAGGTAGAAGAAGTAACCGAAACGTCGGGAGTATGTAGTTTTAAAATATTAAAGTCGCGTAGTACGAGCATATCCGAAAAATATTAGATTCATTTAAATTTTAAATGAATAAAAATCGAGAAAATCTTAGATCTCATAATAATCATATCGATATTTCTTTCAATCACTACAGTTATTGTGTTCATTATATTTTAAATGTTTGAAAAGTATTTAATATTTCTTTATTTCATACAAAGTAACGAATTCTAATGCAAACAATAGAAAAGAAAATATAACGTCAAAACGTTTAAGCAGCGGTTGCGGTAATTCTCTATTTGTCAACTTCGTGCCCTAGAGGTTGGTTCACGTTAAGCTTTTATCTTCATCACACGGGAATCGCAAGCGGAATTTTAAAAAGTCCTGCAGTTATTAAGGTGTGTATTTATAAGAATAATTCCTGACACATACAGGAAAAACTGGCATTCTTAAAATATGATAATCGTTAGGAAAAATATAACAATCTTTGACTTCGTTTCAAAATATCAGTTGTGTAAATTGTAAAAAGAAGAATTTTGGCTTATTTCTATCAGAGTTGTTTTATTTTAATTCATTTTTCCACAGACTGGGTAATTTTTAATCCTACTTTCATATATGACAGATATAAAAGTTTAAAAAAAATTAAATAACTCGTCACAACAGCATAAATATATTTTTTTACTTAACTCTCTCACCGTCCATATTTTAAAGGACGTCTCAACATTGTGAACACTTTGTCTTGTGTATCTTGAGAATTTTTAAAACTTTAAATCTTATCTTAACAGTATTAATAGTGGCTGCGGTAAATTTGGTGGCAAAATAAATAAAAACATTTTTGTGTACAACGTAAGACTCAAACACATTATATTAATTATTATACAACCGAATTATGAATAAAAATAAATCAAAAACATTTTCAAACTGTATAAATTCGATTTCAAAAAGCTAAAAAAATTAGATTCCAATAGGGAAACGTAAAATACCAAAAATGTTTCTAAACGGAAATAAGTTTATGGTCGCGTTCATAAACTAAACAAACTATAAAAAATTAAATGATAGTGATGTGAAAGAAGCCAATCGGAATGAATCGAAATGTATATAGTGATGTGAACTATAATTTTAGCAAATTCCGGCTTATCTCTTGTTTTGTAGGTACATCATTATTTATGTAGAATTATTTTAAAAATATAAAACTAGTTTCAGTCTATACTATTGCTTAAAATAAGTTTTTTGTAACCCGCTATCTTAGACACGTACTTTAGTGACTAAACTAGTACGAATATTACGCAAGTAATGGTTAAAGGTGGCATTCTGTTATTATTTTAATTGACATTTCAAGATATTCAATTATAATATTTTCTTTCCTCTGTTTGCTCCTGCACTAAAGAAATAGTTCCATAATTTTGTTTTTTCTGTCATATGTACCTAATAAGAAATAAGTATATAAGAAGCTTCATATATATATATATATAATTTTATACACCTTTTATAATATTATCCGCTTAAATTATATTCTATGTTATATTTGTCAGTTGTCATATGACATAAAAAAAAACTAGCCAGGTGTTATTGTGTACCATGGCAAATAAATAAGCCTTAATAAGGCGTTTATAAATAAAAAAATGCAATAGAAATTTTTAAAAAAAGTACATATCAGTTAACAGAAATCAAAGAGTTAAATCAAAAAGTGTAAATTTCGCTTAGAAATCCGTAAATTTATAATTGAAATACTATTATATTATATTATTGACGATAGATTCTCGTAGTAAGGGTTCAAAAAAGATATAGTTTTATTAAATTTAAAACTATTTCATATGTGTAGAAATGGAGTAATCATTTTACGCGCTTTTACCTACAGATTCGAAGCTTTAGAGAAATATAAGAATGTGTTATAATATTTAAGTATAAGCTATTTCAAGTCGTGTATTCTTTTAAGTCGCTTACGTTTTAAGAATAAATCTGTCTTTTACTTTTGTATTACAAAGTTAGAAATATTGATACATGATACATCCATACATAATCATTTACAATACTGATAATCTCCACAAAATATAATTTGAACCAAATTTTCACATGTTCTACATTAACATCGTCATCTATAGAGATAGCTCTATTGAAAATGACGTAAGCCTACCATAATACATATGTATGTATACATATATATGTATAATGAGTATATAATAATGTTCTCCAAACATTTCCTCTTCAAGCGAGGGTTACACAGATAGTGTAAGGGGCTCAAGAAACAATCAGAAATAAAACTCTTCCTCAAACAGCCCTCGAGAGTTGAGTTAACTATTTATTCAAGTGTTGGCTGTACTATACTCGGTTCTATACTTCGGTAAGATCGTCACCGGATATTTGGGGGCGAAGCGGGGTTTTTAAAACTGTTGACATAACTCTTATCACCCCACATTACTTAGTACGTTTCATTTATACTGCATTCAAAAATATGCTTTATTTACATATGAATAAGACTGCTTATATTTTTATCTAAAAGGCATAAAGTATTGTCAGGGGCGGCAAAGACAACAATATCACACTACACGCCTCGCCCTATTGTAAGACGTCTGAAATAATGATATCGTCTGATATTTTTGACATACAAAAACATTATTTAACATAATTAATAGTTAAAACTATACAGTTTTTCTATTATTAGGTATTTCTCATAGGAGTAACATTGTACAGGAGTATTTTTCTATTAAATTTGAATAAATAAATATGAATAAGTAATTTAATCAAGAATTCCTCTTGGCATTATATTCATGACACATTGTGTCGGCCATCTTACATTTTTAAATGTCTTTATAAACGTCAAATATAAAGGAATATTCTAAATTATTTTTAACCGTGTAATGTAGCATGTCAATGTTCTCATATATAAGTGTTCTTTTGTAAGTCTTTGTGTCAGTGTTCTTTGTTTGTAACGACGGCCAGAATGTTAGAATCTAAAGCCTTATCAGTCGCCGCTGCCACGTTTTTCGTGAGTATATTATCAGACGCATCTTTCATAAAAACGAATTAATAGCTTTTAAGCGTCTAACCATAGACAATCATTGTTTTAATCCAACAAGTTCAAACGACATCGTTCTTGTTTATGGTAGTTTTTATAATAGATAAAAAATTATTTCCTTTTTAAAAAGATATTTAATTTAAGCGAGCATAATGAGTTCCTGTTATTGTTCTCAGATTTTAACCTTGCTGCCAGACAGGGAAGGTACGTTGTTTAGTGACTTTGAACTCATCTCAAACTTAGTCAAAAAAGTATTTATGTACAGAATTATAATATTAACCGCTTCCTTATTTTTTGAAGTCTGTTAACAAAAAATTAGATCAGAGAAAAAAAAACGTAGGATCTACAAGATTCATTTCTTTAATTGATACGACAATTGTTCCATGAGTGCACTTATGCTGTTGTATCTAAATTTTGAATATTTTTCAAAATGTTAATAACTAATTTAAAATTAATTACAGTTAATGCGGCTCCAGAGCCATGTAAGGAAATAGTAGAGTTTATATTTAATACAGACCGGCTAAGGAAAACCAAACACACAGAGAAAGAGAGCGAAGAAATAGACGAAAGGGAAAAGAGAAGGAAAGAAAAGATCAAACAACTGAAAAAGATTGATAAAGGTAATATATGATTAAAAATTAGAGACGTGAGATAACAGATTTTAAAATTAAAGATGTTTGCGCAACCTTTATGGACGTTCTTGCGAGAAGAATACATATCATAAAACAATAATGAAATCACAATCCGCCATTTTTAATGTGTAGCGTCACTCCAAGTTCCAACTAATAAATGGAATTTCAATATACTTATACTTTATAGGTGCAATTTTATAAACCAAGTAACCTGTAATCCTGTTAGAATATTTTTTTTCTAATTTTCTAGTAACTACATGAATCCAGTATATAACATTTTATAACCATTTTTGACTTTACGGCAATGTGCAAAAAATTTAAAGGAATATTGAACGAAAAATTTTAATATTTTAAGAAATTTCGCGTATAATTTTTTTTCGATCGAATCGATTCACAAACAAATCAATAATTCGTCAATATAGATAAAAATAACTAAATTTTAAAAAGCCTACACATAAATTTTCTTTGAAAGCTTTAACGAGCATACTGGCATGCTTGAAGCACTTAATTGAGTAATCGGTTAAAAGGACTCGTATCCAGAGCCGTAAAACATTTAAAAAAAACATACGACAAAAATGCCTTATATTATTTAGGAAGAGTTGATATTCTTAGACTGGAAGATCGATTTTAGCCAAACATAATGATGGACTATCGCAATCAAACGTACTTTCAAGTTTAAAAACCATCAGACGCAGGCATCGACGTTAATATAATTATAACAGTCTTTCTGCATCGGGGGTTAAAAAAACGCCTAAACGAAAGTGAAATGTAGGAAGCACTTTCTAACAAAAAATAAAACATTCCGACTGCCAATTCTATGTAATATTGTTATAACGGTAGACACTTATAATGGCAATCATAACGTTTTTAACATTTAAATAATTTTTATATGATAGCAGGCCAGGAAATAAAGAAAAAAACCTTCATGGGATATACAGGGTGACTGGTGAATTACTATCGATACTTGAGGACGTGATATTTGACGATCATATATGACAAAATAAAAATTAATATAACATAAATATTAATAAACTTCTAAGTAAAGTTAACCAAAAGTTATGTAATTAATTACGCATCGTGTGAACACCCTACAGATTAGGTATACACACACACACGCGTGCGGCGGCGTGGTGTTGTATCAGCACGCCGCCGCACGCGTCCACACTTGGAACGTGTCCACACTTTATTTATTTATACGGAAATTTGGTCAAAAATTAACTACCAATTTTTTTTACATAATTCGAATGAGAATCATGTACCGAGTAATCTCCTTAAATATTGATAGTAATTCACCAGTCACCTGTATAATCTGTTACTTATAGAAAACCGCGTACAAGTTGCTTTGCATATTTATACTTACATATTTTTTAAAGAAGCCAATGCTGAATTTTCCATCATGTGATATTTATTTTTAATAATCTGTTTTATTTCTGAATCATGATTTATAATCAGTTCATCTTTTGTTACAGTTCTAGAAAAGCTGGGTAAGTTATTTAGAGCTCGTCCAGAAGGAACGAATTCTCCGCGATGCTCTCGTGTGTATCACGCGCGACGGTTTCGCCCAGTAAGAGCGTACCTAGGCGCGAATATTTAGGAACAAATTTACCCTGGATACATGCATTCGCTCTGGAATTCGCGAATTAGCTGGACGCAACAAGGCGTCTCTAGTATCACTACTCGCGCGCATTACGCGCGAGTCAGGAGTCTGGCGTAGTGCACGCGGCTTACGAGCGTATTTTGAATTCGCGCGATGCTTGTGGGCGCGATGTATTGCTGCCTTGTATCACAATAAAGCGCAAGAGTTCGCGCAAAACGTTTCGCCGCGAATTCGCCCTTCCTGGACCAGCTCTTATACGTAAAAGTGGAAGTCTTAAGAAATGCATTCTGAAACATTTTGATCAGATCTTTAAATTTTTTGACATTTGTGAATGTTTGATAAAGTAAAAAAATCAACTCAACACTAGTCTTAAAAATTTAACTACTATTAGTGTAACAACTAATTGTATAAATTACTAAAAGTTCTTAAAAAGTTGGTCTCTATCATTATGTATGATCATAATTTAATATCATTGTAAATTCTTTTCAGTTATTTTAGGATCAGATAAAGAAGCTTCTGAACAACCGAAAAAAGAACCAAAAGGAGTCATGGAAGAATTCATGTCTGGTTATTTGAACTTTATAAAATATGTAATGAGTATGTAATATATATTAATTAATAAATATTATAAAAACTAAATACTTTTCTCTATCTATATATGTATAAAAGAAAGTCGTGTTAGTTGCACTATTTATAACTCGAGAACAGCTGTGCGGATATTAAAAATTGGTGGGAAGATAACTTAGAACCAAGAGACGGACATAAGATATTTAATTTTCTTCGATAGAAAGAAAAACTTAGTAAATTCCAATATCTGGTTATTTAATGCCTCTACGATGAAAATTGATTTCGCCCGGTCAGCTATACATATATTACTTATACCAAAATTAACGCTAAGTCGCGGGCAAAAACTAGTATTAATATATATATAAATTATAAATGAAACATCCAAACGGTTGTATATTAATTTAATCAGACTCATTTCACAATGCAAACTGATAGCACACACAATTTCCCCACGGACGTCCCCGTGATCTCATAAATAAGACTGACTGCGCATCCCTTATATACATGACTGCACAAATTAACCGACATACAAAATGGAATATTTCGAGTCACTTATTATTATTAATGGATCTATCTAGACGCTTCCGGTATTGCACTGTACCCAGCGGTACATAATGTCTTTACACACACTGAATCACTTCACAACTCATCGTGCTCCTCCTGTCCAAGAAAATTATACAAATTAGTATATAAACAATGCTAAATAAAGAAGAATTAAATAATATTGGCTGAGAAATATGCAAGAAATTATACACTGGAAGACAGTTGCTATTGAAGGTAGTATTGAACTATTTTTGATATATGTACATATAAACATGCAGTTTTATGCTATTTAGATTATCTCCTGCTTGAAGACTTCTAATAAGTACAAACTTTACATTATCATATTAGTAGGACAGTATATAACTAATATCTTACTCTGATATGTGAATTACGTCCCTTGAAAGTTTCATCCAAATGTTTTCAGTAAATTAGATGTTAAAGAGTAACAAACATCTATACAAACTTTACATTATCATATTAGTAGTATAGTATAATGGTTATATAATGATAGTATGACTCACCACAGGTGATGCTAATCCCTCATCATCCAAGTCCTCATCATCTTCTTCCTCGTTCTTATCCTTGTCCTTCTCCCTCTCAACCTCATCCTGTTCGTTCTTCATCTTCTTCTCTCCCTCTTGAGTCTTCTTAACCACCTCAGCCCTCTCCTTAGCAAGTTCCACATCATCGGTGAAGAGTATATTGTCGAAGATAGTTCCAGACTTAACCTGCCACAAGTCTAGACCGATAGCGCATAGTTCATCCCGCTTGTATAGATTGGGATCTGGAGTATATTCAGGGTTGTCGATTTCAGGATGTACCCACGCGCCTTTGTAAGCAGGGTTGGGGATCTGAAAAAATATCAAGAATAAATTTAGTAGGAATTAATATAGTTGTGGCAAATTTGATTATGATTTTAATTTACGTAAAATATCTAAGTATACAGTCAATAGTGATGTAAAAGTTCAACGACCGCGATCAGTCGTGTCAACCAAATATATTATACGAAGCTGTACGAAAAAAACTCATGTAACAGTGAATTAGGGTCAACGTACTTCAGTTCACACATCAATAGGCGTTGCATACATGCTAACGGATATTATACTTTTGTAACAAATGAAACTTAATATTGATAATTATTATAAACTATATATAATAATTATTTTATCCCTGAATTTATTGGAGAAATTTCCGTTCTTCATGGATTTGATGATGATTTATAATCATATTTATTAATAACTTGGTCTTTTCTCATTCAATATGAATGAACAGTATACATATGATCTCCATAGGTTTTAGTGGAAACTTTATTGATTTGTGTTTTTTGTTATTTTAATTTTTATATTACAGTGTTTTTAAATTGTTTGTTTCCTAAATAAAATAAAAATAAGATACCTGTTTAGGCGCCCATGTTCCCTTGTAGTCAGGGTTGTCAATCATCGGTGGTTCCCATTCTCCGTCCATCTCATCATCCCAGTCCTCGGGCTTGGCTGCATCAGGGTCTGGGATGTGTTCAGGTTTGTCCCAGTCTTCTGGCTTGGTGTCTTCCGGGTCAGGGATTGTGGCACGGTCATCCCAATCCTCGGGTTTTTTGGCTTCGGGGTCCTAGTAGATAAGTTTATTGATTAAATTTGTATCATACTAATTTTGTTAGGGATTTCAAAAAATTGATATGGTTATGAACCAGTAGGTAACTGGTAAATCTATATTGTGTCATAGAATTTCATACATAATATAATGAAATATAGTCAATGATATTCTGATATCTGAGCTATATTCCTGAAAGTTTTATCAAAATCCATAGCTTTAGTGTGAAAGAGAATCACAATTACTCTGACAAACTTTCATATGTATAACATTTTTGGGATAGAAACCGCTTGTAACTGCTACTCTATCAAGTATTATAATCATTGATCCTACCTTGATCATCTTAGGTGGTAGGAAGTCCCAGTGTTCCTCAAGACTGCCGGCCTGAACTTCTTCATTGTCGATAAGAACTTGATATGTGTTATCGGGTTTCACAATGAGTGTGTACATGTGAGTGTAAACATCATCCTTGCAGCGAATGTCTTGTTTGATTAGGTGGTTCTTGCCTTTGTAGCTGAAGATCACATGAACCTGCGATCAAATAATACTTTCAATATATATTCTGTTCATTTACATTAATTTTTCCCAATGGCGATAATGACTCTTGTTAGCTCTGAAGATCTAATAGAGATGGTAAGAGAAACAAAAATAAATGTAGGCATTGTGTAAAGGACGAGGGATTAATTTGCAATTTCATCTAGTTAGAATAAGTTATAGATATTTTTCATTAAGTGAAAATATGTGGCTGCTGAAAAATAATTTATTCTTAATGTAGTTAATAGACAAATAAGTTTTTTAAATATACATTTCAAATGTGCATCATATAAATTTAATGTATGTATATATTTGAGAGTACATATAAAGGTCATAGAAATACAGACCTATCAATTTTAAAGATGTGAATTTTATTGCACTTGTATATTTTTATCAGAAGATATCTTTTATGATAGCGATATTATGTTTATGACAATAATAATACCAACGGTAAAAGTTACAAATGACCCAGTTGATGATAGATTAGATATTGATTTAAAGTCGGTTAATCTAAAATAGGCTGATTAAAATTTAATTATTATTAATAAATTATTTCATTAATGTAAATATGAAAGGTTGTTTCTTTGAATAAAAGTCCATAGACAAATAGTATAAAGAATGCAAGACATTATTTGCACAATTGCATATCAAAAGTTATTTTTAAGCTAACAGGAGGTTCTAGATTAAAAATTAATGATAATTAATTGGCATCTATTTATATTTTTAACTACAAAAGATAATATTAAATACTTCCACTGAGGTTTTAAGATTTCTAATAATAATACACTCAGAGTTTTCATTATCAGATTAAATATTTATGTAGTTGAAATAAAAATATTAAATCTGTACTAAAACCTTAATGTGTTTGACATTGTGACACAAAATATATTATTAGAGGACAACTAATTAATAACCCTTGATAAAATAAAATAATGGACTGAATTTTAATGATTCATTAACAGTTATAAGATAAAAAAAAAACAAAATAAAATCTCTTATCTATGGTTTCATTAGTTTTATATGATAAAAAAGGTTGTTACTCTTTGAAAACAAAATAGAAGTTATCTATGGTTTTAAGTTTTTAACATACCAATTTGTGTGTTAATGTGAATGTAATTTAAAGAGCCGATGTAATGTCTCATTTGAATATTGCCTCACAATACCAGTTTAGACTCATTAGTGATAACAATAAATTATTTAAAAAAACAAGTTACATCCAAAATGTATGAATTCAAATATTTAAATAATAAAAATTGTTAAGATAAATCTTGTGAAGTTATTATAATTGATTTTATTATTTTCAATAAGGCTCATATCTTCGGGAACTATCCCGAATCTACGCGGATTTGCACTAGCAAATCCGCGTAACTAGTATTGGATAATTCCGGGTATCTACATTGGAAGCAGATTATCAGAATAAATTAAACACTAAACAATTACTTATTGTGAGAAAATTACCTTAAAAGTCGTTAATATAGAAAATATTTCAGCTTAAACTTTCTTCTGAATTCTGATCATCTACTTCTAATGTACATACGCGGAATTATCCAATGGTAGTTACGCGGATTTACACTATCCCCGACGATATAGTTTTAATTCTAGAGTGTATATTATATTTTTTTGTACATTTCAATTTATTATTTTTCTTTCCGTGTAAAATTTACTGTTTGTGGTGTTTATTGTACACAATGAAGTATATCTATCTATCTATCTAAATGCTTACCTTCTTGGTTCCGGGTCCGCAAATGTCGGGTCCAAACATGATTTCATAGGGGCTTTCTCCGTGCATGTCTTTCTGGTCCAACTTGCAGTCGAAAACCTTGAGGTATCCACCGCCACAATCAATATCCTGTTCATGTTTTACAGAAAACTGAACAACCAAAGGCTTGCCTTCGTTAGAGAACGGCTCGAACTTGCGTGAAAGGGCGTAAAACCTCGCATCTTCTGATGTCTGAAGACCTATTGGATTTATGATAGCAATTAACATTATGCACATTTAAATTATTCAATTTCAAATAATGAGACATTTGATTTTTATTATTAGATATCGTTTGTAGTTAAAAGTGAATGTATTTTTTAATTACCTTTATCTTCCTCCTGGTCGTTGTAGAACTTTCCAGCGGTCAGTTTGAATTTGCCGAATTCTTTTCCTGGATGTTCACTGTACACCCAACTGGATTCCCAGGAGTCTGGAATCGGATAAGTATTATTAGATTCGACATTGTAATCCTTGCCGGCAACAAAATCGATACCACGCGCCAGATACCGGCACTCAACTCAATTTATAAATTAAAACGTGGACTTACCATCAGGGAATTTCTCTTCAAAGTACACATCACAATTAACTAAACTTAATGCCAGCAGGCTGGCAATAGTTACGAATATTTTTTTCATTTTGATTTATAACTACCACCTTCGCATGCAAAGGACTAGCCACGAATAACTTCGAAGTTTGGCGAGTCAACTATTATTTAATTTTGACCGGTTTGTTGCGTTGTTTCGCTGTCTCTTTCGCACTATGCGGGTAAAATGTTGCTAGAAGGAAACAGTAATACCGAAGTGGTTTCAGTGGCAAATTAAAGAGTAGGACGAAAATATTAAAATCGTATAAGAGGAATAGAGATAAAACAGTTCGAGCATGATGTAATGACGTAGCAATACGCAGACAGATGGAGAATTCCTATTGGTCAACGTTAGCAAATAGAAATTGAACACACGTGTGCTTACTGACATCGAAGAGGACCGCGAATTATAAATATCCTATTTAAAAATGCAATTTTCTAAAGAGATATAAATAGAAAAGATTCAAATACACATTAGTCGTATTTCAATTTAAATAGAAGTCAGAACCATTTGTATTTCTAGTTAACAAATATCCTCTAATTAATTATAAACTTGAGATTTAAACAAAGTTCATTGATCCAGAAAGTTCATTCGGCTCACCAATCGGAGTATTACAGGCAGACGAAAGAGAAACAAATATGAATTAATGTTAGTTAGAAAGAGATGAGGCATTCTACTACGTTTCCGAATATAATGCTCGGAAAAATGAAGCAATTATCTTTAAATTGTAGGAAATATAGAAATCGATAAAAATATTTGAATTGATAGCGGAAGTCGTATGCAACGTTTTAAAAATTCTATTTATACGATGCAATATATCTGGTTGACATTTAACTCTTGATTGGTTATTTGGTAGCCGGTGTTTTTTATGTTTAAACATTTTGGTCAATTCAGCACTTTTAATTTGTTATGTAACGAACTTTCTAAACAGTCATTTTGGATATTAGAACAGTCATCGTTACCGAAGTAGACATTTTAAGTTTTGTAATTGTAATATGATTAATGATAACTTCTGTATTGTCGTTTAAGATAATAAATGTGTATGATAATATTATTAAAAAGATCTTAATTTTGCAATAAAATATTAGTTGGAAAGTCCTAGTTATACCATTATAGTAACTAGATAATTTTATCATCATTTTAATTGTATTTTTTTTATATATATTCTGAGTAATAAAAAATGCGGGGAATTAATAAACAGCTTCAAAAAGGCAATTTATTTTATATCACCACGAAGTATTTATGTTATTTCTTTATATGATAAGACAAATGGATACATTCAAATAATGTATTACTGATAAAACAAGGAAAGAAAAACCCATTACAAACAGTAATTTAATGTTTATTTTTTTTTATATTTATTTAAAATCGTCTTTGAAATCGTATTCGTCGCTTTTGTTTAATGTAGTGAGCGTGACATTTTCTAGAACATCCGCCAAATTGACAGCTTGCTTTTCGTTTTTCGCTTTTTTCTTTTTGTCTTTTTTAAACTGCATTTTCCTTAATTTATTCTGTTTGGTGTTTCCCTCTATTAGCATTTCGGGATCGGATTTAGTTTTTTCGTTTGTTTTCTTGCTTTTGTCTAATTTTGATATGATGTTCAACGTTTTCGGTAATAAGCTGGACTCATCTTCGTCTACTTGCATTTCGTTTTCAACCGCCGCTATCACAGGACCAGTGCTTGTAATCTGTTAGAGAAACATTATTAATATTAATAATTATTTTATATGACTCGTTTGATATTATTTCCATGGTATAGTATTCGTGTTTTCATTGTTGTAGAAATATAATTGTGGAACTATTGTCATTGATAAGAATCACATCGTGATAGAAACGTTTCAAATACTTAATTATTTATGATTCACCGAGGATAATTGTATCGGACATAAATACTGATGGTGGATCAAATAACATTTTTATGATAACTCAATCATGAAATTGAAAATCAAGGCTGTAATGAATGTTTTATTAATAAAAAAAATATTATTAATTTATATAGTTGATAAAAATTGCTATCTACTTTATAGACGTAATCATTGCTTTAGTTGTTAATTTTCATTATAATAAACATAAATTACACAACATAATAACCTGAAGAATAACATGTGACTATTTGTTTTAAATTTAAAACTATAAACTTGTGGTAAGCATATTCTTCTTCTTCCTGGCAATTTCCCAGCTTTAGCCAGGGTCTGCTTTACATGTTGTGAATAGTTTTGGCTAATTGTTTTTACGACCGGCCGCCTGCCTGACATCAACCATCTTTGGGAATGCATTAATCAGTGATGTCTAAATACTCTTAGAAAGTACATATGACTCGGAAAAATCACATTGGTACTTGCCAGGATTGAACCCGCGCCCTCATGCATGAGAGGCGGGCCTTTAACCACTAGGCCACCACTAATATTTTTCCATTAGTATGTATAATTACATCTCGTATCATCACGGTTGCTGTTAACAAAGTTACCGAAACATCGAGAGTATGTAGTTTTGAAAAATAATAAAATACGCGTAGTAATCCGAAAACATTAGTTTCATATAAAAGGTATACATAGCTATATAGATTATAGGTTATGAATTTATACGCGGTAGAAGTAGGAGCGAGAGGTATTATAGATAGGTATAGATATGTATACCTTAATAGCGTCCCCATCATTATTCCCAAGTGCATCTATCGCCTCTGTCTCCATAGCTTCAAAGCTGTTGATATCAAACTCCTGAGCGAGGCTGTTCACTATCTTGGCTTCGACATGTACTTCAGACTCTACTTCAGGTGGCTCAGTGAAGTAGCGGACCTTGAAATAATAAGTTTCATTATAAATACTGTGAAAGAAAATTTGTAGGAAATTATAGACATTTTTTTCGTAACAAAATATATAATGTTATTAGCTAACCCACCAGACTTCCTACTGCCTCAAAAGAGCTGTTTTGAGGGTTTTCCCGAATGAACCAATTTTTTTCAGCTTTTAAACCTTCCCTGAACCTCCACGAACATTTCAAGACTAAGATAAGATAAATCCGTTAAGCCGTTCTCGAGTTTTAGTGAGACTAAGGAACAGCAATTCATTTTTATATATATAGATAGAAGATAGATGGATTTATATATCATCAAAATATTTGTGAGTTTTTAAATCTCTACTTGAATAGCTATTTAGTATTTACCACTATCAGTACATGGTTAAGCTTATAAATTATATGTTTAAATAATTAAACATTATTTACTAAAAGTAAATAAAAAGTATTACTAAAAGTATTATTTACTTATCAGTATTATAATAAATATATGTAGAGGTATCAAGTATTATGTAGCTATTATTGGTAATCTATAGTAAGTGTTTTATATAAACCTTTCCAGTATTCCAGTCGTTGAGTAATATTCTGGCTGCTGCATCACGATCTGGCACACCGCCGCGACGGAAACGACCCATACGTTTAGCGAGGGCACTGAAGAACTCCTGGAAATAATGTTATATGATACAATAGAGCAGTAGGCAGACCCTGGCTAAATCTGGGAAATTGCCAGGAAGAAGAAGTAGACACTAGAGCAGGAGTTGCTTAAACTCAAACTTATTTTTTCCTAACCATTTTATGAACAAGCTATTGTTTAGTGGCCATACTATTTATCTACTAAAAAACAAAATTACAAATCATCCCCAGACCTCTACACAATACCAAAATTTTTTTGAGTCTCTTACTGTTATCCTAGGCAACGCCCATAAGGTTTTATCACTTTGAAAAAGGCTGAACTAGGGTTAATATTAACATGTTTAATTTTCACTATTAAAAGTAAATTACTTTAAACTGATTTTATATGATATTGTGTTACTAGAAGTATTTATTAGTAGTACCTTTTGATCGTTATAATATAAATGATATTGAGTAATTATTACAAGAAATTATTATATTTCATTATAATTATTAAAGATTATCTGTGTGATATTTACATTTTTTCTAATAAAAAAAAATATGTTGAAACTATTTCTGTTTTAATCAAAAATGTTTGTCAAGATAGATTCTTATTACAGCTGTTATACAGAATGATTGTAGAACTATTGCTTTGATATAATAACTTAAAACTTACATGCAATGAGGGAAATATATATTATATACATAGAAAAAATAAGGGTAGATTAAAAGAAGTATATAGCAGAGAAATACAACTTACATCAGGAGTATTGAAATCTGGTATACAATATAGTGAAATGAGAGTCTGTTTGTTTGCTCTCTGTAATATAGCTGTGGCCGGAGTGAGAGGATCTTTCAAACTGCCCACTTTGATAGCATTCTTGAGAGCAACCGATGAATCATTATCGGAGCCCGCATGAAACACTATTCCAGGACTATCTAGGATCTTGATTTTGCTGTCTAGCTGTACTGTCTGCATTTGTCTGTACAAAAATATAATTTATATGGTATTGGAATTAAAGGTTGACCACAACGGTCGTAAATTCTTTAAAGATTAAGATATTTTATAACTATTTCATTAATAATGATAAAGTTACCAAACCAAACAACAAAATAATTGTTCAATTAAAGAAAAACACTGTTAAGAATATCAATTTGATATCAATGAATATCATGAATAATCATAAATATCAATCATGACTATCAATGTGATGCTAAAAGTAAAAAAGAATCATGCAAAATTTAATCTACGCTAAAATTTTCATAATTATATGTAGTTATCCATAAAATTGAAATATAAACATACTGTATATGATAAAATAGTTCCAAATGAAATGGATTTTTTTCTTTTATCATATTAGTTTTAAGCAAAGGTATGTATATTTTTATTAAATAACTTTTTTTAAACATGCAATAATTTATAAAATAGTAATGTATATTCTTACTTAGTAATACCAGGAGTGCTGCCAACATTACAAGCTTTGGATCGATTCAAGCTGTTGATGATTGAACTCTTTCCCACATTGGGCAACCCAACAACACCGACTGTTATTGACGTCTTGATGCCCTTGTTACGGCAATAATTACCCAACAAACCCATTAACAACTCCGCACCAACACACGCTGAACCTGGAATATATAAAATAAAATAATTACTATTAAAAATACATATTTATTTAGTAATTAAACACGTTTCATAATAATTATGTCCTTTGTAACAAAATTTTGTTCTACATTAGTATTAAATTTTAAAATAGCAAAACAAAAATCAGTCTGAAGAATTGTATATTTTTATGTGGCATATTTGTTACATTTAAAGCCAGATAATCAATATTATTGCAAATGTTAATTCTAAAATAATACTATACAAAGAATTATACCTTACATTATCACATTTATCAATTACTCAATATTATTGCAAAATTTATTTTAAAATAATACTACACAAAATTTATAAGGCATACATTATGACATATCTCAATTTATGAGTTAAATATGTCTTAATAACTAACATTACAAGAAAATAATAAAAAATTATTCATACTAGTGCTATTTACCTTTCATTTCTTTTTCCTTAACAACATGTTTCTTCTTCTTTCTACCGAGATTGTGTTGTTGATCCTGCGTGGATGCTTTGAATGGAACAGCAGGAGATTGTCTCCGGAGGTACTTCAGCCAAGCCGTTAGATTGTCCCGAGGCACGAGATCAGCTTTATTGAGTACTAACACTAATCTCTTCCCCGATTCACGAACAGCTTCCTCCACTTGTGCACATCTTGTACCTGTATCAAAATAAATTTAACATATATTATTATACAGGGTGCGCCAGAGAAACTTACTTATTTGAAAGGTCAATTAAAAAAAAAGTACTTCAGTTATTGTTTTAATTTTTTTTTTATTTGAGAATACAATATCCCAATTTTTTTTTAATGCAGTCTTAAAAATGACATCGGATAAATGGTGACCCCCATGGCGCATACACTGATGAAGTCGATTTTTGAAATTCGTATCCACTCTTCGCAGCATATCAATCGGTATGTTGGCAATGGCGTCGCGAATGTTGTTCTTGAGGTGTGCTATGGTCCGTGGTCGATCGACTTAAACCAGGGAAATGTGGAAGTGAGCCTCGTCACTGAAAAAAACGACCGCGACTTCAGGCAGGTTGTCAATCAGCATTTCATATGCATTTTGACGGGCATCAAAATCGCGTTCAGTTAATTCTTGCACAACAGCATATTTATAGGGATGAAATTGAAGGTCTTAATGGAGAATTCGTCGAACAGTGGTATCAGAAATTCCCATAGCAGCTGCGTGTTTGCGAGCCGAACGCCGAGGAGAACGCACAACTGACTGCCTCACTCTTTCGATATTTTCCGGAGTTCTGATGGTCCGTTGAAGTCCATTTCTGGGTTTAGCGACACTTCCACACTCCCGAAATGAGTTAACCCACGACAGAATCGAATTACGGCCAGGAACGAGTCTGTGAGGAGGAATTTCAAAGCGAGCGCGAGAGCGAGCGACCGTTAGAAAAGACGCTCTCAACTGCGAAGGCCCGCTGCTCTCTGGACCAGAGTATGATGGCAGCTGACTGAAGGGAAAAACAAACTTGGGAACTTCCCCCTCCAGATGCGCCCTCTCTGGCCCCTCTACCCGCCCAACTCACCGCGCGGTAATTTTTTCAAATAAGTAAGTTTCTCTGGCGCACCCTATATATATATACTTGTTTTTGTGTAGGATTTTGTCTATATTGATTTTGAATGGGGTTCAAAGAAAATTATAAACAGGAAACAATAATGAATATGTTAATAAACTAGCAGATATATTTTGATTTCTAATTTACATTACTGTAAAGTTTTACCAAAATCCGCTATATAGTTTTTGTGTGTAAGAGCAACAAACGTTCTTACATCCTCATATATTTCCCCACTTATAATATGAGTACAATTAATAACAAATATTACTTAAGGCAGACCCTGGCTAAATGGGAAATTGCCAGGAAGAAGAAGAAGAATAATTAAGAAATATCATGAAATATTAAAATTATTAATATTAACATATTTAATATTCACAGTTATATTTTATGACAATAACAATGAATTTACTTTATTATTATTATTTCTAGTTAATAAATTAAATACATAATATGAATGACATAAATATTTATTAACAAATATATTCAAAAAAACTATTTGCCATAAGAATGTTTAGGACTTGAAGAAAATAAGCTCTAGCTACATATTTTACATCTTAGAAAAAATATTTGACTGTTACTTAATCTAGTGTCATTTCATATTGAATTCTTAGATAAATATTGAATTTTCTATATGAATATAACTACATTCCGTAGCTATTGTTAGTTATTAGGTGAAGCAAGAGGAATGTGATTGGAGGTAGCAAGTTTGATTCCCGCTTGTGTCATAGAATTTATCATTCTATTTTCAACATTAATATTAAATATAAATTATAACTTATTTATAGTACCTAATGGATCTCTGGCATCGACAACTTCAAGAATAACTTCAGCCTCCGATATAACCTTCTTGAATTCTCTGTAATATGTTTTCAATGAATTCTCCTGTTGTCTGTCCTTGCTATATTCTGTGCTACCATTTTCATTACCTTTGAATGCATCGTGAACTTTACCTCTTGCTTCAGCATTAGCAACCTATAAAAAGTCAGGTAAACTTGAAATATACTAATATATACTAAAAATAATTTAAAAATTATTCTTATATGTAGCGAAATCAACTAATTATAAGTGTTTTGTTTGTCATAGTACTTTTTTAATATTATGCAAGCAAATTCCTTACAGTAATTCTACAATAAGTTTTCGGCACAAATCTAAATGTAGACACTAAATATTTACATACAATTGTATCATATATGAATGAAAATAATGATATCAGCTTTAATTAGAATGTTTCTTTATAATTTTCTACTTTTGTATAAATTCATGACAATTATCAAGTGATTGACTCATGTGTAGTATTAAAATTATTAATATAATTTCAGATAATATATTAAAAGTTATTGATAAAGTCAGTAGTGGCCTAGTGGTTAAAAGGATCGCCTCTCATGCATGAGGGAGCAGGTTCGATCCTGACCTGAGCAAGTATCAATGTGATTTTTCCGAGTCATATTTACTTTCCAAGAGTATTTAGACATCACTGATTAATGCATTCCCAAAGAGGGTTGATGTCAGGCAGGCGGCATTAAAAAACAATTAGCCAAAACTTTTTACATGTAAGGCACACTCTGGTTAAAGCTGGGAAATTGCCATGTAGAAGAAGAAATAAAGTTAGTAATGTTAGTTAAAATGTCGTCATCATCATCCTATCAGAGCCCACTGCTGAGCTGCCTTTTCTCACATAGAGAAGGTTTGAGCATTAATCACCACACTTGCTCAAGACGGGTTGGTGATTTCAAACTTATAATTGTGAAACATAACTCCAGGTTTCCTCACGATGTTTTCCTTCACCATATGTCAGTTAAAATGTATGAAATCTTTATTCATTTATTATCACATACCAAAGTGTCCATTCCCACAGGATTCTTCTTATCTTCTTGTCTCTTCTGTTTGTCTAACTTCGCTTGTTCTCTTCTTTTCTGTTTTTCTTCTTCTTTATGTTTTTTAACGAGTTCTACTTCTTTAAGTATTTCCTCTTTAAACGGACACACATTAGGTATCTGTACGGCTTTAGGTTTTTTTGATTTGGGATTCTTTTTCGCCTCTTTCTTCACTTTCCTGTTGTGATCTCGGACTTTCTTTTCAATTTTATACCTTAGTCTAGCAGGTTGCCTTTTAGATGGCTTTTCTGTAAAATAATAATTTAAATTACAGTTTTAATAAATTCTTCTGTGTGAATTTACCGGATTTATAAAAAACCTTAGAAAAATATATAACTAATAAATAATATATTATTTGCAATGAAAAAGCACATTCATAACCTCAAACATTTGAGGTTTCAAGTAGCTAATAAATATTTTAAGCCTGCATAAACAAATCGTTACACATATAAGAGAAAATGGTTGGAAATTGATGGGGTATTCATAAATTTAAAATTACATTAAAATAAACAACGAAAACTTACTCAATTTAAACTTTGCCATGACTTAGTTTAAAATTAACACTACAGAGATCGTAAAAACAAGTTTTTCACAGAATAGTTATTTATATAATAGTGTGTGTTAACACTTTAATACATTTTTTATTTTAATGTATAATAAGTAACGCTTTTCTTAAATAGAAGTAATATATTTTATGACTTCTCGTTATATTTTTGTCGCTCTTATGTCAAGTGTCAAGAACATGTGCGTATTTAAATGAAGAGATAAATAATATCATTTACTATAAAGATAAAAGATATAGATATCTTTAAAAATGATTAATCTTTAATCAAGTTTTATTAATTTTTAATTTATATTGATATTTTATTTAAATAATAGTCATAGAAGTTTCTTTTATCATGCTATTTTCAATTATATCGTATAGCCATTATAATGCCGGTATCCAAAGCATAAAAAAAATACGCCGATGTTGAAAGGTGGAACTTTTAAATTTAAGAATAGGTTCTTATTACTTTTGAAGTAACAATGTTATGTACATTAATATACATATAAATGGCTATAACGCGGCTCTTCTCTATATTATGAGTTCGTTATTATCATTTCCTGAATTACGTAAAAATATTTTTGTGCAGATTTTGGAAATAAAGGTTATTGAGAAATATATTTGAAATAGTAAACAAAAACATTTTATATTTTAACTACATACTTCAATTCATCTAAAGATCATGCTATAATTTTAGCATTAAAATAAATTAAAACGAAAACTAAAATTCTTTGTGCAAATTGGAACAAACTGACACTCTATAGTGGTCTTCTGAGAATACTCTATCTAAATGTCTTCTGTGTTTAAAATATCTGTAATTTTTATAATTTATTACAATAATGATTTTATAACTAAAGAATATTTATAGTTAATTCATATTCCACGGACATGTATTAAAAAATTACTGAGCTGTCTTCTTTATGTAAACTCGTATATTAAATAACACAAAAGCTATTATTTTCTTGCTCCGAAAGGGATGTTGTTTATTTATAATGTTGATACATGAACATAGATGATGCGATGAATTCGTTTTCAAAATAGGTATCGACTACCAACTATCGTCGTACAAAGAACTAATACCTATTGTCCCGTCACGTAACCTCACTACGGGTATAGTCTATAGGTAAACAAAACACGTAGTTTCATTCATCGCATAGTTAGTTTGAATGAGAATTGGTTCGACGTCGCCAATGCCACATGGCATTATTAATTCACTGCCAGCTGCACTCGAATCGCAAAACGGTCGTTTATACCTGAACAGGTAATAGAAGCAACAGGTCATTTAAACTGGCGCGGGGAGCTCCGCGCCGCTCTAGCGCCTGGCTGGATATGACTTAACGAACAATGCGTTAGTCGTGTCTCGCCCTTCACGGTGGACGCATGCCGGTGCGGGAGCTCGTCGCGATAATACTTTCACGTAACCGTTCATACTCCGGCTGCGAGTTATGTGCGCGAACGCACGCTTCAATAACCCTCTATCCAGCAGATCGTGACAGTGCCAATGTCTCCTAGCTTAGAGGGTATCATGTTTAACAGGAACGCGAACCTGTCAGCTCGCCGGCCATTGCTCGCGGAACCACAGAAGCCAGTCGTGGTTCCACCTCGAGCACCACCCCGGGACTACGGTAAGTACGGCAGACCCGCGCCCGCGGCGAGGAACGCTCCGTCCGACGAAGGACGATTCGAATACAGAACCGATTACTGGAAACCGTCGAATGTTGACATCGAAAAACGGCTGCAGGAGACGAGAACGCGAGAGAAGATCGGATACTTTCAAGACAAAGTGACCCCACCGGAATTAAATTTGGACCGTAGGGAGGCGGAGTTAGTGTTTAAATTCGACCCTCACGCATCCGCTGAATATTTATCGAGTCAGTATCAAGCTCCAACAGTTCAATATGCAAAGCCCCCGACGCCGGCAAACGGGTTTGCTAACCGTCTACCGGAGAGAGACGGCCCTTTTGTGTTCGGAGTCCACAGTCCCAGTCAGTTCCCTATACCGCGTCGGGACGAAGACGACTACGACTACTCCGAGGTGGCCGAGGAGCACGGCCGGCCAGTGATAAAAGATGACGAGTCTACGGAACTCAACTGTTGTGATAAAGTGAATGAGTGGACTGTTAGGGATAAGAAGAGCCGGAGGACTTTAAACCGTATGTTCCAAATAAAGGACCGACGGAAAGTTAAAGGCGGGAAAAAAGAAAAGATTAAGTGTGTGTTGGTCGGAGACGGCGCGGTGGGAAAGAGTTCGTTGATAGCCGCGTACGCCCAGGACACCTTTCGGGAAGAATATCAACCGACCGCATACGACACATTTAATGGTGAGACTCAATGATTTACTTCACTTATTATCAATACAGCATTTCAACTCGTGTCAATATACTCCAATTTTATCATAATAGCCCTGATTTGTATAGATAATTACCTTGATTGTGATACATTTTTAGCACGATAACTACAACGGCGCTTAAATCATGAAATGACTTATTTAGCGCCACTAAACAATATCTTTATCACAGACTAAATACATAATACAGGTTTGGCAACTAAAACAATAATATTTATTTGTGTAGATAACAAAACATAGTTGATGGACTAAATTCGGTGTCCTAATTCCTACGTCAAATGGCAGCCGTAGGTAATATTGTTTAAATTTCCTCCAATTCTCATGGTTTCGTGATATCATTATGAAGGCGCGTCAAACATTTGATAGCTTATCAAACACTCGAAATATTGCAAAAAATTGGCATTATAAATCGTGTAACAAGCGTGTTTCGTAATTCAAATACAGTTTTTTTTAATAGACACGTATAACTTGTTTGATTATATTCATTAAATATGAATAAAAATAGTAAAAAAAACTTATTAAATCAGATTTTTTGTAATTTACAATTAATTATATGACATGAAATACTCATTAATCATTTTTTTTTTTATAATTCAAAATTAAACTTAACGATTTTCTTTTTAAATTCGTACATATAAAATATACGTATCATCTATCTTAATTGTTATGCAACAAAAAAAGGTTCATTGTAAACATTCACACGTACAAATATCTAGTTCCAAAATCAACTAATTATAGAGAAAAAACTTATAAAATTCCAGTCACGCTCTATCTGTTACGTTTGGGGAATAATATTTTTTATTATATAAAAGGAATAGTTCACATTTGTCCACGTAGAGGAGGTCAAAGCACCTTTTAATATGGATCTCTGGCAGTCAGAACCAATTAATGTTACTGTCACTTGCTCGCTAGGATATGAATACAAAGAAGTATACCGGATGACGTTACCATTGACTCAACCAAACAATCGATAGATTTGCAAATCATAACAACTGCTCAATAAACTTTAAAATAATGAAGCAACAATTATATTAAACCAACCAATATATCACATAACTTTAATCATAAAAGTATCGACAGTGCTAAAATCGTTAAAACATCAAAGGAACTAACTTCTTGCTTCGTGAATGTTCTCTTTGTTCAAATGCTATATAAGCCGCTAACAGATCCTTAAAATGTATCCTAGGTTGCATGAGTAACCATTACAGGTAAATAAACCGGCGCCACACTTACGTAGCCAGAAAGAACAAAACGATTATATTAACTGCAACAGATCTCAGAATAAGATACGACCATTGGAAATAACTTCAAGCTTAAGTAATAACTGCTTTGTTCCTTTTTTTTGTTGTGGTAAAACTTCGGCGTTTTCAAATTCCAGTTTTCTTTGAAAACATTGAAGTCTCACTGAAAGTAATGTGAAAGCAAAGAACAATGTACTTTCCCGTCTGTATTTGCATGTATAATACCGATTGCAATATTCGCCTTTAGAATTTTCTTTGGCTGCATCTTTTATTACCGTGTTGACACGACGTGAGTTACTTCCTAGTTAATACCTGTACAAAGGACAATACATACAGTTTACTCGTAATACTTAAAATACTCGAAGAACGACGATTAGTCATATCCTATGTATGACATAAAAATCCTTAGTTAAAACAGATTAGGCGATAATGACCATTTCGATGACGCTATACTATGTAACACCAAATAAAAATATGTCTATAATATATTAATAATAACTAAAATTTTATATAACCTGTAACAAAAGTCCAGGTGACATAAAAATGTCGTGGTTATTCAAGTCTAAGCCAGGTGTTTATAGCAGCTGCAACTCTTTGTTCGACCTTCTAAGAAAAATAAATAAAAAATATTAAAGTACGATCATTTTAGAAAACGTTCGTCGGGATACATTTTTTTCTCGTCACAAGTCATTACGACCGGTGCGTTTGATACGAAATAATGTTCGATAAAAAAACTGTACACGCCTGTGGTATTTTAATTACTTTTCATCATTTCTCTATTATCTTTTATGGATTAGAATATTAGTGTTATTTAACCTGTAGCTAGAACATTTACATTTTACTCTACGGACGCTATTAAATATAAAAATGAATTGTAATTTGTATGTCTTCTTCTTCTTTAGTTAGTGGCGTTTCCTTATAGATTTCGTCAATGTCGTGTGCGGATATTATACTGAACTATGTAAAAAGGAATATGTGAGTGAAGGTATGAATAGAGAATTTAAGTTTGTCACTTTATACCTATGAAAATTGTACCGCAAAATGACATATAGGTATATTTTTTTTTTGTAATTGTTTTTACGGCTCTGGATACGAGTCCTAAGCCTTGACATCCCTACTAATATTATAAATGCGAAAGTAACTCTGTCTGTCTGTCTGTTACGCTTTCACACCTAAACCACTGAACTGATTTTAATGAAATTTGATACAGACATAGAGTTGACCTTGAGAAAGAACATAGGATAGTTTTTATACCAGACTTTTGGAAGGTTCTCTTGCAAACGCGATATAACCGAACACCACGCGGGCGAAGCTGCGGACGGCAAGCTAGTATATCATAAAATATTGCGAGAGTACAATTATCAGAAAAAGAAATCGACTTTAATATTTGTCACAACCGTCAGTTGATAATTTAATATAATTTTTCAATTACGATATTTGATTTCTAATATCTCTATTGAATGGAAGTTTACTGTGTAATAAATTGTAATTTTTAATAAAATGGCAATATTGATGAACTGTCATGTTTTAAATAGTTTTTTTTTATCATCCCTCCATTCACAGTGAGATTATGTAATATTATGCCAAATATTAATATATTTTAAATATGTTTTTTTTTATATTTTACAAGTCATAAATTGTTGTTTATTATACAGGGCGCAGTAGCCACAAACCAAAGCCTTTATATAATGTATATATCTAAGAAGTACTTAAACGTTTATGTGTACATTAATAACTTTCACGTTGCACATGTTACCGCCATATTACTGGTGAAAGCGTATGTAAACAAGAATTTTGGTAAAAAACGATTTTTTAATTCCGAATTTATATACGTAAACTTAATTAGTAACGTGCATTATTTTCAAAATATAACACAATTACATCTGAGTATAGAATAAAAACTTAATATTTATATTAAATAATAAGTATTAAATATGAATTTAATGATAATATAGTTTTTTAAAGCCACTCCATTCGGGCATCACTAACATAAATCTATGGCCGTATTACATAATAAAAAGCCACCCCGCATGGCTCTGTCCAAAGTACCGTTATCTTAATACCCTGCATTCATATCAACTATAAATTTCATATAATATCTATATATACATGCTGTAAGACATGTAAATATGCTACGTGATTTAGTCCACAATACAAATTGATTTATTACGAAACGTTATATTGAGTAACTTCTGTATTTCAGACAATTTGTACTACAATAAATTCGTTTTGAAATATACAATTTATCAGTATAGATTTACAAAAGAGTATTATATCGAACTAGCTTTCCGCCCGCAGCTTCGCCCGCGTGTTCGGTTATATCGCGTTCCCAAGAGAACTTTTCAAAAGTCTGGGATAAAAACTATCCTATGTTCTATCTCAAGGTCGACTCTATGTCTGTACCAAATTTCATTAAAATCAGTTCAGCGGTTTAGGCGTGAAAGCGTAACATACAGACAGACAGAGTTACTTTCGCATTTATAATATTAGTAGGGACAAACCTCTTTGCCAATATCGATGTTTTAATTTAAATATCGATTATATAGTGAAGGTAATCCAATAACTACTTTTCTAAGTCATCTCAGTGCATCCTCAAGCCGGACAGACCGGTTCCAACACGTGCATAGTGATCGTGACTTCTAATGCATTGCTTTAATATTTAAAATTATTTTATACCGGTCATTCAACTGTAATATTATTAAAGTTAATTAAAATTCACTATATATCTTGCAATTTCCCAGCTATAGCCAGGGTCTGCCTTACATGTAAATAGTTTTGGCTAATTGTTTTTACGAGCCGCCTGCCTGACATCAAAACTTTGGGAATGCATTAATCAGTGATGTCTAAATACTCTTAAAAAGTACATATGACTTGGAAAAATTATATCGGTACTTGCCAGGGCTAGGATCGAACCCGCGTTCATGCATGAGAGGCGGGCCTTAACCACTAGGCCACTTAACTGACTATATCTATATGTTATAAGTAAGACATATTGATATGAGTTTCTTATGAATCGTACGTAAGTCTCAGATTGCGAAGGGGAATTGAGATCGGTTAATGGGTTAAATTGCTTAATGCTGGGGTCCCGGGTTCACGCGTTATCTAATGAGACTGTATTCGCAGTAATGCTTTAATTGAACTAAAAATATATCTGAAACATTATATATATATAGTGAATTATTATGAAAGAATTGATTTTTTTCCGCTTGTTTCAAAAGACACTGAAATCTCGAGTTTGTTTTTGAATTATACGTATATGATGTATAGGAAAGATGATTAAACAATAATTATATTGCATTGCAAGATTTAGAGCCAGTATTTGCCTTTGCCTTCGACTTGAAAGAATAATATATAAACCAATTCTGTTATGATCGTAAATACCTTTATTTATATGAAAACCTTTCTCTAATACAATCTCATTACAAATGTATACATATATGTATAAGTTTAACAAATGCTAGAACTTTTTCATTTCATTCAAAGAACCTTTCTGTATTTAGGTCAATTGCTAACTTCAGTAAAGCGTCATATAAACTCAGAAATCACAGTTAAAAAATCCGATTACATTCAAATGACATAATTTAAAAAGATTTGTAGGAACTAAGTATGTTTTATTTTTAAATATATTAAATTAACGAGTTATGATACAGTGCCCTCCAAAAGTTAGTTGAAATTAGTTCACCTTATCAATGATGTTATATATTTTCCAAAATACGCAGTGTCTATGAATGAA